TCACCTAAATCTATATAAATTTATTGGTCTTTTGGTGTAAGGCCTTTTTAAGACAGCCAGTATAAACCATGCAGGAAAAACATTAATGCTGATTAAACTGGGATTGCGGACACTGGAGATTTATGTCAGTGGCTCACCCTGACGTACTGGTTCAGCAGGAGCATGGGGGTCCGTTACTCAGGGACCGTGAAATAGCCAGTGGAAGAGGCAGCTCAGGTCACGGAGGCCCTTGTTCAGAAGGCAGGCCACTGGGTACACTTTACTGCGGCTGATGGCTTTTTAGGAAAATTATTTCTTGTTTGACAGTTGGAGAGGTCAAACTTGTTTTCCCATGATACTGACAAGCGAGGAGGGCTTGGGAGAAGGGAGCCCATCCAAGGCATTGTCCTTCCAGGTGGGCTCTTATGACTCCTCCTCCTAATTACTTTTTTCCACATCATCCTGAGCCTAGAGGAGTCCCTCGTCTTTACCCAGCTGTAATTGGCTCTATAAAGTATTTGGGTGAGGTTTTCGGCAGAGATTGAGTGCAGCCGTGTCTGATCATAAAGTTGCCTGCCACCTTGGCTGTGGATTGGAGGGAGGAGGAATGCATCATTGGTCTGCTTTTATGTTGGGAAATGCATTTCCTGTTGAAACGGCCACAGAGGTAGCACATGCTGAGGTCAGTAGTGAGGACATATGCTACCCTTTGTTGTAGGACAGCCTCACCTACCGTGTTACATACTTCTTGTTTATCTGAAAATTTCATGGAAATTAAATTGCTCTCATTTGAAAGCCAGCTATTCCGAAGAGCTATGGTCCTTTTTGCAGATCCCAAGGGTATCATTTAGAAAATTATTGCTTTTGTCAGTCAAGAAAAAGTGCCTAACGTATATCTAATGCTAGAAAGGATCCAGCTTATGATAGGTATGTAATTTTGTTAATTCTTTCCTGTTCTGTCGTGTAATACTAGATTTTGTTTTGTTTGTGAAAAAGCAGAGAATGTCAGCCAGCTATTGGAAAATAGAGAACTACTGGAAAATAGTTCTCTTGGAGGACTGGCCATTTCCTTTCTTCAGCAATGAAGATGAATTTGATGCCTTATTTATGACCTGTGACCTTTACTGAAAGAATTAAAAAATCAGTCTAGCCAAAGGGGCTTGGCTTGGAATGAGATGTTTGTAGCTGCTGGCATAGCTTGTGGGAGCTGCATTCCAGCCGGCGTTGTGAACTTTGAAAAAGTTGATGATTACATGGTTTACTGTATCCCCAAACACCCTTATCTTCTCTCTTCCAGTGAACTCCAATACTTGTGCTCCTTTTCCAGGGCAGTCTACTTTGTTCGGCATAAGGAATCCCGGCAGAGGTTTGCCATGAAGAAGATTAATAAGCAGAACCTCATCCTAAGAAACCAGATCCAGCAGGCTTTTGTGGAACGGGATATCCTGACTTTTGCAGAAAACCCCTTTGTCGTCAGCATGTATTGCTCCTTTGAAACAAGGCGCCATTTGTGCATGGTCATGGAATATGTGGAAGGTGAGTCAGTCTCTGACACAGGGAACACCACACCTGTACCCGGAAATCTCTTGCTCCTTTGTGATGTTGAAGCTTTCTGTATTTGTGCCACGTAAGGGCTGTATCCACCTAGGAGCTGAAGCCAGGCAACGAGATGGCTGTATTCCCAGTCATTATCTTCTGATAATTGCTTATAAAGTGCCTGCTCTGCTATAACAAAGGGAAAATTAGTGCTATTTGGAAAAAGGTTGTTTATCTTTTTTAATAGCTTTTAATCCTAACTACCTCCTCTCAATTGGTCATTAAAGTTGGAATATAGGTGATGGGATTTTTCCTACTTATTTTTATTACATATCATAAAAGCATTCATTACAACTGGTCGTCTTAAAGAATGAATTAAAAATATATCGTTTTCAGTATGTGGTATAAAATTAAAAATGAGTTAGGGGAAAGGAGATATATTCAAGAAAACTCAGCCAGTCTTCCTGATATTCATTTGGTTGTTTTTTTTTTTTTTTAAAGGTTTGTGGTCCACCTTTCAGATGTTTGAGGATATCTTATTTCCATCAATTTTACATTAAATTTCTGAGTGCTGAAGTGGCTGTGACTTGTTGACATAAAGTTAATAAAATGAATAGATCAGTAAAGGCCAAAACAGTTTTCAGAGCATCCAAATTAAGCTCTTGTCGTTGTTTGAACAGAATCCCAAAACGACAAAACTCAAACATTAGATATCCTTTTAGTTAAAATGTTTCATTTTGCAGATGAGTGAAATGAAGTCCCAGAAAGTAAAACTTACTAGATAATGAGTAGTAGATAAAAGACAAAAATACAGCTTGCCTGATTTCCACCCATTGTTCTAAACACCACGCCAATACTTTGCCTTATTAACCTTCATTGTAGTCATTTTAACAACAATAACTAACATTTATCATGTTTAATGTGTGTTGGGCAACATGCTAAATTCTTCACATAGATTATCTCATCTAATCCTCACAGTAATCCTAAAAAGGCTGACATTACCATCCTGCTATTGCAGATGAAGGAACTAAGTGTAGTTTGCCTGAGATCGATCTCTCAGCCTTTAAGAGCCATCGCTAGAATTTGGACTCAGATAGCCTGATTCCAGAATCCATGTATTATATTTTAAATTGTTACCATGATCCTAAAATTGTGCTCTCAGTTCTTCAAAGTACAGCTCCACTTCAGAGCCAAACCTGCTCTCTTATAAATACTGCTTCTTAAATAAAAATCTGTATTTTCTCCACACCACATTTTAATTAGAAACATGATTATTTAACACACAGACTCCCCTTATGAATATGATATACTATGTCTATGGGTGGAGATGACTCCACTTTGAAATTCTGTGGTCTAAACTGATGGTGTTTGTTAATCCTAGCTATGATAGCTACTAAATCTTTTCCTTGTGTTTTATAGGAGGAGATTGTGCTACCTTAATGAAAAACATGGGTCCTCTCCCTGTGGATATGGCCAGGATGTACTTTGCTGAGACAGTCTTGGCCTTGGAATATCTGCATAATTATGGAATTGTACACAGGGATTTGAAACCAGACAAGTATGTACACTGATGAAACACGTCTTCTTTTACATAACACAGAAAACTTTTTTATGTCTATAAAACCTTTTCCTTTTAATGTAATTTGCACATCTTAGAATTCTTTCATAATGTCCAAAATGAGTTGTTTTAACAGTGTTATGGTACTTTTTACATAATTCTTTAAAGGATATGATGCTTATTTGAAGCTCAGGAAACTCATGGAAAAAAGGTCATGATGCTTATATTAATAACGTATAAGAAACGAGAAAAAGATGACAATAAAGCCAAAGTTAATTTTTTATGAGTTTTTTTAATGATGTAAACTTTTGAATAGCTACATAGAATGCTACTAGTAGTTTTCTGGATAGTTTCGGCATTGGTTATCATACTTAGATAATCCTTCCCTACTCCAAGATAATATACTTGATTTTCTATTTTATTCACAATTTTATTTTTAATTTATGTAACATTCATTTTGATTTAATATACAGACAGACCCCCCCCCCCATGACTAGCTATTCATCTTGGTACCATTTATTAAATATTTCATGCTTTCTTCACTAATTTGAGTTACCTCTAAAAACATTACATGTTAATATTCAAGACTTTCAGTGTGCTGAAAATTTTATAAAACTGACTAATGCTTATTCCAGAAAATTTGGAAAGTGCAGGGAAAGAAAAGAAAAATTTTTATTCACAATACTACCAAAGACAACTATTAAAATTTTGTTATGTTTCTTTCTAGTAGCTTTTTTTAACCTCTCTATTCCTTTAAATTTTTAAGTGCTATGATATTGCATATACCATTTAAAATTTTTATTTTTCCACTTAAAATGAAAAATTTTAAATATATTCATATGCGAATTCTTTGCATGTATAAGAAGTTTAGGTTTTGTGCTTAATGAGTAGAACTTTAAATTAGAGCTGGAAGTCAAACTCTGAAACAATACTACATTTTTCTGTGCAAGTTCTTTATCTGGTGTCTCATTTGACTCACAGATGGGTTGCTTATCTTAGTTCCTGAGGTATGACAGGGGATTATTGGTAGCCCTTTCTTTTCTTGTTCTGAAAATGGGAAGGGGTCAGAGTTACATACTTGAATTTTTCTAAGAGTTTCAGAGTGTTGCAAGTGACACTGTATGTGACTGCTCCAACAAATTAGCTATGCCTTGTCTCTGGCCCTGCCTTGTAAATTACACTCAGCTGCTAGATGCAAGTATTTGACATCTTTGTGTGACTTCATCTCTTTCCAGGCTGAGTTTTGTAATAAGCCTGACACCAATATATTAAATCCTGTTAGAAATTGATGGGGGAAGGGGAGAAACCTAAAATAAAGAACCAGCTTCAGAGCGATTGTTGTACTGTGTGTCCTTCTGCTTCATAGCTTGTTGGTCACCTCCATGGGGCACATAAAGCTGACAGATTTTGGACTATCTAAAGTGGGACTAATGAGCATGACTACCAATCTTTATGAGGGTCATATTGAGAAGGATGCTCGTGAGTTCCTGGATAAACAGGTAAGTTTGCGTGCTGTTCAGTTCTATGGAGAAATACAAAGTACAGTATTGCCATTGAAATTCAGAATGAACCTGTGTAGGCCACCTCCACGTTAGTACTGGTGGTTTAGATGTCTGTATAAGCCTTACATTTAATAAAGTGCAAATTGCTCCCATTTTTCTCCCTGGGCCTCTTTGAACTGTCCACTCCCTCTACATTCCTCCCCCGACATTATGATCTGTTAGCAAGACGAACGATCTAATTGCACACAAGTGAGAGTGTGAGAGAGACAAATGGAAAACTGTTTTTGTAAGGAATTCAGGAGTCTCAGTAGACTGCTCGTGAAACTCATGATGCATCGTACAATCACGGGTGCTAAATCCAAGCCACGGCCCATTTGCCTTTAAGCATGCCTCATTACCATGTGCCCACAATCTGTTCATTGTAAAGTTACTTAAGGTAAACACATCTCAACTGTCATTGCTTTTATAAAATAACCAGTCTGAATATATTTTAGTCATATAAATACTATCTCTGGTAGTGACAGATTTTAAAATGTACTATTATTTTAAATGTAAAGATTAAAAGTGTTTTTAATATTGTAAAATAGGTAAAACTACCAAATAGGGTCAGATTCTCAATTTGAAATTAAACATGGTACATAATTTAATATGAGAGCAGAATTTTAAGCTTTCTTTCTTTGATATTAAAACAATTTTTTGCCTTGGTATTGCAGATACCTACTTATAATTTTTGTTCTTCAGTTCTTTGTCCATGGGGTTCCATGTAGTTGAGCAGGTGTAGTCTGGGCAAAATAATTGGTGGTTAGGCAGCTCGCTCATTCTAATTCATGTCTAATATTCCAATTATCCTGATTTTGCAATCATCTTTTAGGTCTGTGGCACACCTGAATACATTGCACCAGAAGTGATTCTGAGGCAGGGCTACGGGAAGCCGGTGGACTGGTGGGCCATGGGGATCATCCTCTATGAATTTCTGGTTGGATGCGTGCCATTCTTTGGGGACACTCCAGAAGAGCTATTTGGACAAGTCATCAGTGGTAAATATCATCAGGAGTTATCTTTAAGCCACTGTTGGGAAGCAGCTATTTCATGTAAATCCGTTGAGTGTCGCAGTTTTTACTACTAAAATGTTAACCTTTATCAAACAGTTGAGCCAACAAATTAAAAGAACTCACTCATCATAGCATATAATTGACATTCACAGTCTCAAAAGAGCAATTTTGGCTGAAAATTGACCCAAGGAAGTTTCGTTAACATGGAATTTGGAAATGTACTAGCAGGGGAACCAACTTTTGTCATTCGTTTTTTCTGCAAAAGAAATTGGTGTGGGATTTGCAAATGATTTAGCTGCCATCCAGTCTTTCTTTCCATAACAGGAAAGTTGCACCAGGGAAGAAAAGGTTATGTGGGTAACATTTACATAAATGGGAAAATGGCTAATGGCACAATGAAGAAATTAACAAAAATATAATAAACTCTAAAACAAATGTCTACCAAATAATAAATAATGAGAATGGGAAGGAAGCAAATTGAATCCACAGATTGTTAGTGATTTCTTTGGTAGTTGTTATGGCGTAATGTTATTTCTGTAACAGCTGTTCATCTTTCATTTAAAATTCAATAACTTTTAGATCTTAACCTGCAAGCTGACCCTAACTATTGTTGTGTGGCTTGTGGCAAAATGAAAGGATAATTAAATAGGATCTATCACTACCCTACCTGCTGCTTTTTAGAAATTTCCCCGAAGCATAGATCAAAAAGGCCTCTCCCTTCCTGAAAGTTTGTCAGGCATCCCTGACGTCTCCATCAACCACCTCCAGTCTGTTCTGGACTGTGTTTTTAAGGTCTAGCAGCGGAACTAGGGGAAAAATTCATTTTGTGTACGAGAAGCCCCTTTATCCAACATTGTTTGCTGTCATTGACTTTGCAAGCCAGGAATATTTGTAAACTTTAACAAAGCAGATTTGTGGGTTGCCTGCAGTGCGTAAGCCCTTTATACAATATCTGAGCTGTTTATGGATTTATAACTAGGCTGTTTTCTGATACCAAGACCTGAATGGCAAGGGGAATCAACTGTTTAATTAACACAAGCAGCAAATGCTGGCTTTGTTCTTGATGCCTTACGGCTCAGATGCATATTCATGTTTTATTTTCCAAATCAGATTTAAACTGCAACAGAGGAAGCTAGAGGCAGGCACACACAGAAATAACTCATGTTTTTATTGCATTTCCATACACACAAGCACGCACACCTATCTTCGGGCAAACTCCTTTAGAATGAGAACGTATTCAAATATTTATGGCAGACTTTAAATACTTCCATTACTATGATTACTTTGGGTTTTTTTTTTTTCCTGTCTTCTTCTTTTTCAGTCTTAGCATTTTGACCTTTCCTTTGTCTTTGGAAATAGTTATTTTTACAAAATTACTTTTTGCTTCTTAGAACTGAAGAACTCTATGGCTTTGGCCAAATTCTCAGTTGAGGAAATTAAGAGAGAAAATCTTACCCTTAGATGATCCTTAGCTGGGTTGCTACCTGGGATGCAGGTGTTTTGGAGTTTCTGTTATATTAAGTCTTCTTAATATCTATAAGGGGCAACTTGTTGGAAGCCAATTCTGTGAAAGAAAAATGAATCAAAATGAATGAAAGATACTGGTTATTGAAATATTCTCTCCCTACCTTAAAGACAGCTATTCATGTCTTGTAAAACAGTGCTTCTCAAACTTGACTATGCATAGGAATTAATTGAAGACCTTATTAAAATGCAGATTCTGATTCAGTAGGTCTGGGGTAGGGCCTGAAATTCTGCATTTCTAACAAACTGCCAGGTGATGTCCATGCTGTTAGGACCTGGACCACCCTTTGAACAATGAAATTATAAACTACTTTTCTTCCCTCTAGATGAGATCAACTGGCCTGAAAAGGATGAGGCCCCCCCACCAGACGCCCAGGATCTGATTACCTTGCTTCTCAGGCAGAATCCCTTGGAGAGGCTGGGAACAGGTTAGAGCACATGCGTTTTAATTTTGCTGATATGCAAGAAATAACATCTATGTGGAGCACTGAGGCTTTTTGTTTTGCTTTTGCATGGGCAACATCTGTTAGTTGATGTAGAACATGACTACAACACATCACAGCAGTAATATTTTGGATTTCGTTTTTTGATTCAGAGCAGTATGTATACTAGAAGAGTTGATTGATTTTTGTTGTTTTTGTGTTTTACAAAGCAGAAATTATTCTTCATTTATTTTAATAAATAAAACTTCTCTGGAAAAAAACTTCAAGGGCACACGTAACTCTTCTGTCTTGAAAAGCATGCATCTTAAGTAACTTAAAACAGGAGATTAGATTTGTGGAGCTCTTTTTGTTTTTTAATATATGTTCCCATAAAGATTTGACCCAGCATGTTACTATCCACAGGCTTTGAAATGGGTTATCAGTACTTGAGCTAATTACTAGAAATGAGTGCCTGGGGTTGAACCATGCTGTCCCATCAGCATGATTAGTACCGTGACCCAAGAAAGAGAATTAAAAACCACTGCCTTTCAAGATTACGGAGATAGTAGATTTGTTTCTTGGTGATTATTTTTCCTGACTCTTCGGTAGCAGTTTTTTATTTTCTTCCCTGTATTCTGAATATACAGACCTAGGGATCCCAATATAGAGTCCCCACGATAAGAATCCTGCCAAGTATGTGAATTTATCATACTATCACATATTTAGCAGAGTATGTGAATTTTAGATGAAACTAAAATATTAAATATAAATGCACATACTCTAGCCAGCATCCATGATTTTCATCAGTGAAAATTGTTGCCTTGATGGGTTGTTTACTCTGAGCTGTTTCATCCTATTCCATTTTAATAGAACTAGCAGAAAATACTGAAGAAATAATTCTCTTCCCCATTTTTTCCTAAGACAAAAATCATTTGCAACAGTTCCAAATATTTATGTTATTCTCCACATTTACCCACAGATTTCCCTGTTAGAGGGCATTGTTCTTACATGTGAAATGCTGTGCTACTAAAGTTTAACATATAATAATGTATCAGAGCAAGGGTCAGCTAACTATGGCCTGTGGGCCAAATCTGGACCACTGCCTGTTTTTGTAAATAAACTTTTATTGAAACACAGCAATGCCAGTTCATTTACATATTACCTATGGCTGCTTTCACGCTACAGGGGCAGAGTTAGGTCATCATGGCAGAATGTATGGCCCACAAAGACTAAAATATTAACTGTTTGGCCATTTATACAAAAAGTTTGCAGACCTGCATTAGCTAATCCAAGAAGGCTTAAGATCAAGGCTTAACTGGAAAGTTTTTTTCTAGTACTACTTACTAGAGTAGTAGTACCTGTGACTTTTTGCCTTTTTAGCGGGTGAGTGGACTTTTAAATTAGAAAGCCAATATAAATTGAGGTTAAGGGCACAAACGCCAGAGTCAGACAGCCTGAGTTGAAATCTCAGCTGTGTGATCACCGGCAGGTTACTTCTTTTCATTTTCTCATCTGTGAAAAGGAGCTTTTAGAAGTGCTACCTCATAGCATTATTGTGAAGATAGAAAGAGGTCCTTCACAGAGGACTCTTACAACCAGATATGATGCTGCCAGCACTGTTGTTTTTAATTGTCTGCATGTATAATCTCATGCTTTCCGTTTTGGACGTACAAGGTATAGAGATGGTGGTGGTACCCCTGGCTTTGAACTCTTTGGACAGAGGACTTTATATTGCTTCCCATTTACTGCTTTTCTAATTGTCTGAAGTGACTAGCAAACTTATTATGTCACACCTCTGTGGGACAGTTAGATTTGCTTTATGGTTTAAGAGATATGAGTAGCTATCAAAGATTTAGTGTCAGGACTATAAATGGGGCAACATTTTAATGACTGATTTTTACTCACTTGAACCAAATATGAGAAGCAGCAGCATTTTAAGACTGTCCTGCAATTATACAAATATTTGTTTACACATCCCAATTCAACCTACCCAGAGAAATGTCATCCTAATATCTGACAAAAAATATATTAGAATGGGCACACCCCTTCTAAAGGAAACTCAAAAGTCCCTCTCTTTTCAGGGTTCAAGTGTCAATTTGGAGAGTTTTCTGCTTAATTCAAGTTGACTGTCTCTTATCTGAAGTGCTTGGGAGCAGAAGTGTTTTGAATTTTGGATTTTTTTCAGATTTTGAAATATTCGCTTATACATAATGAGAGATCTTGAGGGTGGGACCCAAGTTTAACACAAAATTTATTTATGTTTCATATACACCTGATACACATAGCCTGAAGGTAATTCTATAAAATATTTTAAATAATTTTCTGCACAAAACAAAGTTTGTGTACACTGAGCCATCAGAAAGCAAAGGCATCTCTATCTTAGCCACCCAAGTGGACCTTCTGTGGTTGTTTGGTGTCACCCCCATTCTTGGCTCTGAATTTATATGCCACCAATGAGCACTTTCTTACATGTATTCACATACGAGCACTTAACAATAAAAAAAGACATACCATTAATACAGCGAAAAACGAAGGTGTGCAGGGTAACTAAGCACAGTAGCATCACCAGGATGCCTGTATCAGTTCTTACACAAGAGCAGCAGCAAACAATGGCAGGCTTTTAGTGTCTACCTGTGATGCTGTGTTTGGATGAAAAGGTTGCTGTACACTGTATTTTATTTTTTTAGGTGAGAAGAAACATCAGAGGCAGTTGAGGGATCAGGAAGTGGGTCCTCTGGGGATGAGGAGCCCTTCTGCAGGATGTTTTTTTTTTTTTATATGTTTCCTCCAGAGTCATCTGCCTCCCTAACAACAGTTTTTGTCTCAGAAGTCTCTCTCTGATTTTATAAACTGACATACTTTCTTGTGTTGTTAGGAATGCACACTGCTCTCATCCTTCAGTAAGCCCATCGTGCATTTTGACTGCATCCCATCACATGAGGTCAAGTGTGGAATTTTCCACTTGTGGCATCTTGTCAGTGCTCAGAAAGTTCCCAATTCTGGAGCTTTTCAGATTTTAGGTTTTCGGATTGGGGATGCTCAACCTGTATTCTGCCAGTTTCACTCCTCAGGAATACTGAGATTCTTGACTGGGCTTGATTTAACAAGGCAGGGCTGTAATGATGGTCAGCATATCCATGTTTATATATCATATGCTGCAGGTTTTTTCTCTGCATGCTTCCTCATTGACTGCTACATTCAGTCTTTTCAGGGTTTGACAGTTTAAGGAACAAACCCCCTAGTAGAAGCCCAAAAGAGACATTTAAAAGATCCTGCCCGAGCTCTGAGTATTGTTAGGAAGTGCTTGCCAAACAGGCAGGCCCAATGTGACAGGTCCCAGTAGGGCCCAGAGAAGGAGGCTGAGAGTCCCGCAGGCCTGCGATGCTGCTTCCAATGACAGCATTTTGTATTTAATGTATATTTAGCGGGCAAAATAATGCACCGTGAAAATGTGCGAATGCACATTTGCCCAAGAGACTAGAGAGGCTGAGAAAAAGGGTGTGAAGAACATAATGGATATTTAAGAAACTTCCATGAAAGGAGAGAAAAGGGAGAACGTTAGTGCCAAAGTATAACTTGCAATTTGGGAACTTGTCCTTCTTAAACTCTGCTTTTGAACTTGTAGAGTGTTGAGTGACAGTCTGGCTCATTGGACTTCAGAGCTGCTTGGATGTGACTCTGCATATACCAGCCGTGAGGACTCAAGTAGTTTCTTCATTGCCCTGAGGCTCAGTTTACTAGTCTATGAAAATGGGCATGTTATAGACCTCACAGGATCATTGTCAGGAGTAAATGCAAAAATGTTCTTAAAGGTGTCTAGTACACTGACCTAGTAGTGCATAATAGGAGCTCAAGAAATAATCAGTTTCCCTTCCCTTCTTGGTGAATTCTTGCAATGAGAGCTGTCATTGGCATGAGTGATTTGTATTCAGCTCATAATGCCATCACCCATATTTTACCAACAGTTTAGCCCTGAGGTTATTTCCCCTCAATTTGTCCCTTCAATTCCTTATCTCTCCATAAGTGCATGAGAGACAGGACCCACTGATAACCAGGTTCTTCAGTGAGGCTCAGAAGCCAAAGTGTGAGAAATCTGAGCTAGATGAGCAGTGAGCTGTGGGGCCTTGGGGAGGAGGACCTGTTTGTCATAGTCCACAGAGATGAAGCAGAGGCGCTTACCAGCTTTGGTCCCAGAGGGTGGCAGGCAGGGGAGTATGACCCTAGCTCTCTGGATGTGGTCTAGAAGTGCTATTTGAGCCCTTGGCCCTAAAGAAACTACTTTCCTGGTAAAGTTGAGCAACCCAAAATGTCCGGGCTGGGTCAGTGATTTGGCCTCATAAGTAGCAGCTGAAGTCGCAGTCATTGTGATATAGTGCAACCATGGCTGGACTAGGAGTCCAGAGATGTGCATCGTGGGCCATTAATTAGGGCCTCATCCTCTGGACTTCAGTGTTGTCGGCACAGTGAGGGAACTAGGTAGGAAAACATGTAAGCCTTCTTGGCTTTGGTATTCTGCTTCTCCACGTAAAAGAGCACTGGAAGAAAATGACACTGGCAGCCATGTTTGGGGACATTAATTAGGCCTAGATGAAAGCCAGGATGCATGATGGGCTGGAAGGGGACTGCAGAGGTGCTGTAGAGCAGCCACATGAATCCGCTGTCAGGCTCAGTTCCTTGGTGTTGGCAGCTGTGAGTCCATTTACAAATCGATGCAAGAGATGGAGCAGGAGCAAACTAGGGCCTGCCGCCCCCCTGCTGTGGTGGGCAGTAGGTACTGACGCACTTAGGCTGGGCTGGGTATTTGCAGACAGGCCTAGATTCACCCCTCTGATCCTCACCCTCAAGGGGATCTTGGTCCAGTGAGCTTTATTGCTTATCCTTTCTTTGTTTCCACATCCACAAATGGAGTTGATAATGCCTACTTCCTGGGGGTATTTTCAGCTTGTTAAAGGAAACAAGGCAACTGTAGCCATCTGGTGCCATTCTTGTCATAAAGCCGGCCCTCAAATCATAGCTGCTAATGCTTAATAATAGCAGACTTCAGTATTTTGCTAGAAACATGGAAAACACCTGGATAGAATCTTGGATAAAGAATCTAATCAAATGCTTTGTAAAGAATCCATTCTCCCCTCTTTTGGGTGATTTCCCCACTTTGCCCTTTTCTCTCCATTCCGTTGTGTTCAGAGCACCAGCTTGCCCTGGCTGGGTTTGGAGCGAGAGCCCACGCTATGCCTTGTGCTAAAGGGGGCAAAGTTGCATCCCTGAAACACACAGACGGCACCCCCACCGCCCAGCCAAGATCCATTCAGCTTGCATTTCTCATCCTGTTCCTTTCGTACCCCACAGAGGACAGGATGGGAGGCATGGCATTTACATTGCACCTGGAGGAGATCTCCTGGCAGGGAGGATGATTAGACCCTGGTATATGTCTCCTGAGCAATCTCTCTTCCTAGCAGTTTTTAGGATTGATTCTTTGTTATCTCCCCCTCAACAGTGCGTGTGCTGGTGGCAGGGCGGGGGTCTGCCCTCCTGCTGTGATTTCATGGCGTGTACCTTCTCTTTACATGTTTTGATAGGGCCTGTCCTTTAAAATCACTCCTTAAAATCATGAACTGAACTGAAAAATGTTCATTGACTTGTGCTATCATGCTGAATTGGCAAAAAGAAGCCTAAAACTTAGGAATTGTGATTGATTTTTATTGGAGATATTATAAATCTATAAAACAGATTTTATAAAACAGATTTGTCGGTTTCTTACTTAAGAATCTGTTATCCACAGAATCTATTTCCTACCTATGTTAATGAGCAATCCAATAAAATTGAATGTTAACCACTATGTATAGTATTTAGGAAAATGTCATTATTTTTAACCTTGCCTCTAGAGGAAATATTGCTGTGAACACATTCTGCACCTTGTTAGAATGTCTTTGCATTTTTAATGAGTGGGTCTGCTTTGGGCCAACATGCATCCACATCCCCAGGTTTGGCATAATGCGATTTTACGTGGCCGCATCATTAACCTTTGAAAAATGGAGGAAGTCATGGAAAAATTAACAAAGAAAAACTGTGCCATAGCAACTGCTGTTAGCAAAATCCAATCTTCTACTGATAAATTATCAGAAACTTTTTTGGGGTTTTGGTTGTAAAGTGAAAAAGTGTGATTTCCATGTGTTCTTTATTTCTCTGATAAATTTTTAAAATTGTTCTTAAGAACTGATCTTTACCTTTGCTTGCAAGACAGTTAACACTTTCTTCTCTGTCTCTACCCGCCCCCTTCCAGGTGGTGCATATGAAGTCAAACAGCATCGGTTCTTCCGTTCGTTAGACTGGAACAGTTTGCTGAGACAGAAGGCAGAATTCATTCCCCAACTGGAATCTGAGGATGACACCAGTTATTTTGATAGTATGTGCATTATCTAACGTAAAACATTGTTTGGCCTTTACTTCGTAAAAAATCAGCTTCACTTTTGAACCTTCCAATCTCATACCTATGAGTTCCTAAACATATAACGTTGATTTGATACAGACACTCATATTTAAAATATGTAAATTAGAAGCTGCAATTCTGAGTAATTGGAACTATTCCTAAACATTTCTCTGCAGCGCGGTCAGAGAAGTATCATCATATGGAAACGGAGGAAGAAGATGACACAAACGATGAAGACTTTAATGTGGAAATAAGGCAGTTTTCTTCTTGTTCACATAGATTTTCAAAAGTAAGTGAAATGTGGCATAAACATACAGAGTCTCTCTGGGAGAATCTCCCACTGGCCAGGTATTTGGCACCACTAAACAGCTGGGTAAGATTGTTAAACTGCCTACCTTTTGGGGGATTTCAGGTCTCCTGTGCTTAAAATTACTTTTTCTTTAGGAAAGGTGACCTTATCAGCTTGATGTTCCAGAGTCCCTACCCTGCTGTGGAAGTATATTTCTCTCTTTCCACAAATTGTGTTTTTCTCTTGGAGGCGTAACCTTGGATGCGTAATCTTCTTTTTGGAACATGTGATAACCTTGCCTTGCATGTCCCTCAGCCTGTCTCAGTGCCAGGCTATGGCGGCGGCATCATCCATTTCTTTCATCCTATGATGAAGAATGTGAGCGTCACTGTGCGCAGAGCCCTCTCCTAGGTATCACACAGCATACGACAGAAGGAGAAGGCTCAGTTCTTGACATAAGCAAAAATACTTGGGGACAGTTGACTTTGGAATCAGAATCTGTCGTAACCAGTAATAGAAATTGCAAGTCATATTGAAAAGGCAGTAGGAAGCCAAGCTAGAATTTTGGAAATGGTAGAAGATAATAAAATGGATGCTTGAGAAAGATGCCTTTTTATGGATATTGGTGAGATTAGAAAACAATCAAAACAAACAAATCTGATATTCTGAGACAGGATGGGGCCCTAGGAAAAATGGAAATCAACCTGAGGGCACCCTACCTCTCTTTTGCTATTTTCAGCAGCAACATATTTTCTGTTGCCATGGCATTTCGCATGATGATTGTTTAGTTTTTCTGTAACGTTTAGTGATTTTAAAGTGCTCTGTAGCTTTTTCCAAGTGATTACATGGAGTGCACCGGCAGATTGGCCAGCACTACCCTCCCTGTTTATAGGAATGACATAGAGTGGATTTCCCTGGAGAGGATGGTGGCAAGTCCGCCCCAGAGCCAGGGCAAAAGCTTTGCTAACACTGAGTGGGCTCAGACTAGAACCTGTTCTCCGGCGTATCAAAGCCAACCCTAAACACTTTCCCTCTTTGCCTTGGATGGTATTTCATTTTCTGCTGTCTCCTGTTCTTTAGCCACCGTCTTTTTAATCCCAGTAGACTGTAGGAGGTCTGAGGGCCATTGCCATGAGAGCAGCACATGGCTGAGTAAGGTGGTAGGGCTTCCTGCACTGGGCTCTCAGCCTCCCTGTTTTACTTCCATCTTCCCTACAGGACAGCAGAGATTCAGAGGTGGGCAGAGACCTTGGGCTTGCCTGAGCTCTGATCCCCTTCAGGAATACTAGTACCATCACATGAGGCTGCCTGTCTGTATAGGTGATTTGTAAGCCAAAAAAATAACTCTGGCTCTTATAACCAAGTATGTACTGCAGCCCCGCCCTCCCCCTCCCCTGCCCAAGTCTTGAAAGAGATAATTTATTCTTTACTTTGCACTCAATTCCAATTCATTTTTCTTCTTCCTACCCCTGACCGGTGGCAATTAAATCTTTTTCTCTGTTATTTTCTTTTTCCGATTGACTTCATGGTTAAAAAGTAATCTAAGATGTGTATTGATTCCCAGGCCTAGAAACCCCAGTGCATCTATGGATTTAGTTTGCAGATGCCAAGTCCACAACGAGGTATGGTGAAAGAGGATGATGAATTCATAGCTCCCTACTCAAAAAAAAAAAAAATGCACTCCATGACCCTTCATCTCAGGATTCAAGTAAACAGCCCTGGAAAGTACTTTCTGAATACATGGTTTCAGTTCAAAATTATTTATCCTCTCAGGTTTTTCTCTCAAGACTTGGGTTTTTTTTTTTTTTCCCCCTGACAAACTCTTTCTAGATGATATTAATAAGCACCAATTATTTGCCTTCCAGGTTTTCAGCAGTATAGATCGAATAACTCAGAATTCAGGAGAAGAAAAGGAAGACTCAGGAGACAAAACCAAAAGCACAACCTTGCCATCCACGGAAACATTAAGCTGGAGTTCAGAATACTCTGAAATGTATGTGAGATGCCTCTTAAATAACATCATGAGCACTAGCTATTAGAGCAGTGTTTCTTAAACTTTAGTGAGCATCAGAGTCCCTGGGGGCTTGTGAAAACTCAGATTGCTGGGCCCCCTCCCAGAGTTTCAGATGCAGTAGATCTGGGGTGGGGCCTGAGAATGTGCATCTCTAACAAATTCCCAGATCATGTTGGTGCTGCTGGTCTGAGTACCACATTCTAAGAACCATTGCACTAGACGTGTCTTGGTTAGAGGCTTATCCAAGTGCCCTTTTTACCTGGCTTCTTCCAAAATTCACCTTTAACAGTTTCCTAGTATGTATATATGACTGTGTTTTTGTTTTTAATGAAGGCAACAGTTGTCAACCTCCAACTCTTCAGACACTGAAAGCAACAGACGTAAACTCAGCTCTGGCCTGCTTCCCAAACTGGCTATTTCAACAGAGAGAGAACAAGATGAAGCTGCCCCCTGCCCTGGAGACCCCCGTGAGGAGCCGGAAAAGCCAGCCCTTCCTCCTGAAGAGTGTGTGCAGGAGGAGGCTGAGGTCACCACCCCCGCCAGCACCATCAGCAGCTCCACCCTGTCAGGTAAGTCCCTGGGCATGGTGCCTGCTGTCCTCGTCCGCCACACAGAGAAGCGACTCTGAGTGCTCGGAGTCCCAGCCAGGTGGTAGTGAGGGGTGCTTTATGCTACTAGACTCCCTCCATGGTCCTACTTCTTGGGCGAGGGGAACAATCTCCTGAGAGCTAATATCAGAGGTCGCAGACTCCTCCTTAGCGCTTGGCCATACAGCACTGAGGCTCGACCTTGGAGCCAGCCTTTGCTTTCACAGCCGGGTTTCAGTGGGACCCACTGACGGCAGTCAGAACATGCTAAGGGAGCACGTTCCCAGTGGTTGATGCAACGACGTGGCTTTCGAAGTTGCATCTAACTCAGAGCTCAGGGTAAGGGACAATATTAAATAGTCAAATTATCAAAATTACCTTTGAAAGACATTTTCAATCACTCGTAAGGTACAGGGTAATGCCAGATTTCCCTCTAGCGTTGAAATGGATGGTTACTTCTTTGAAGGAGTTGGCTGTTGTTAAGGGTCGTGCTGTATCTCTCCGTGGTAGACTCATGCTGAGTACAGGTAGATGCTTAGGCTCTGAGGTTCATGGATGCCTTCTGGTGCATCTAGAACAGAGTGGGAAGAGGAGAGTCGGAAATACCAACACAATTTAAATCGGTATTTTTTGTGCATATGAAATAACTCCATTGCAGACAAAAGTTCCCCTCCCGGTCTCCAGGTAACGCAGTAAGAAACTCCTGAGACATCTTTGCCTATTTAGGAGGCAGTCGGAGGGTTTGAGCCTTTTATTTGAAAGCACTTTTGTAACGTTACTTTGTGCAAAGTGACCTTCCTAACAAGAGCATCTTCACAGGTTTTTAAAGTGATTAATGTACCATGGATATTTGTTGGCTCTTAATAATGGAGGCATCCTCGTTAGATAATCAAACTTGCACTTCCCTCAGATCAAGCCTCTAAGTACATTTAAAATATCATTTGGTTTATAAAAATGTTATGCATAGCATATCCTTCTATGGAGCCATTTATTTCAAAAAATCATGGATTTGGCTGAGGGTTACTATAGTAAATGTTTTCATTAGGCCATATTCAACATGCTATATTGACACCCATGAATGATTCCAAGACTTTTCATCAATTTTTTAGCTAACTGAATATTTATAGTGTAAGTTTTTTTTTTAAAAAAAATTATTTCAAGAAAACAAATCTTACAGGCTGGATTTATTTCAGCCTCACTAAAGAGTTTGGCTCAGTGGAACTTCACATGTGCTTAGTTTACTGTGGGGAAAAATAGTGTTGGGTTTTCTTCTTCTCCTCTCTCTTCACCTCAGTTCTGGGCTCCTTGTTGGATAATTCCACCTATCCTAACTATACAGCCGAAAAAATAGCAATATGGAAGTAGTAGAAAGGCATCCTCTGACTGTTGTTAACTCACTTTGGTTCTCAAAGGCAAACATTACTGGTTACAAAGGTGTCTGTCTGGTTCTTCATAATCTAACTCCGAATAGAATACATTCATCTCCATTTAAAATTTATTCTTACTACGGTGAATTGTTTACCATCTCTTAGTTTCTTCGGCCTCCTTACTATCAGAAAGGTAGGAGGTAAAGGGAGGGGAAGAGTGTCTAAGCATTTGATTGATTACTTTCATAATTAAAAAAAAATCTGCCTGGGCCCTGCCATGCATTTTGATTAGTAGATTCAAACCACCTTTCTCTCTCTCTCTCCCCCTCTCCCCCATGCACATACTAAAAATAATCAAAGACCTCGGGGGCTGTGCAGAATAGAGAGAGGAGCTGATTTGCTTATAGCCAAGGGTAATTAGGGAATCTGAAAACTGTGACTATAGTAAAATTAAATGTGTTGATTTTTATATTGCTCCACCATCAAAAAGAAGGAACCCTTGACATTTAGAGAACATTAAGGTGACATTATCCACCATTGGCAGAACAGGAGCACATGCTCACGTGCAGTGCTGCGAAGTGAGATGGCAGAGGCAGGAGGGGGGCGGCAGGAGGTTGTACATCCACACTCTGGCATTGAGGGAAGTTCCACTTTGTACTTGTCTCCCTTTTTTCATGGCTACATTATATTTGAATCCGTGAAAAGTAAAAGTGTTGAAGCTTTAGGCGTGTTGCTCGAATGCTTCCAGCAGTTACTCATCGTGAAGAGATTTGGCTTTTCATTTTATACTTGTCATCCAGACCAGATTAGAAAGATGAAGGAAGTATGTAAATAAGCCAAAGGTAAGCTTAAGTTTTGTGATATGAGAGTTTTTACCATGAAGCAGTTTTTATCAAGTCCTTCAGCATTGGATTTCTTTAAGGGAATGGAATATGCTGTTAAGTGAGAATTTTAGCATATGGGAATAAAAAGCTGGTAGATGTTTGCCTTAGAAGTATCTTGCTGTGTTGGTCAGTTGGGTGTTACATGGAAGTTCCTGTACATTCAGCGCAGGAGACGGCCACGAGGCGTGCTGTGCACAGGCCCACTCTCCCGAGTCCCAGGCCTCCTTAGCTTAGCCCACGGCTGTAAGGTCTGGGCCACCTCCATGAGCTAGGGCCAGACCACAACTGTGCAGTTGAGTGGTGCATATATAGCAGTGCAACAGGAATGTCAGTTAAGTCTGATTAAGCCTCACTCTTTGATACACAGAGAACGTCGTGTGGTTAGCACGTTAAAATGTGCCAGCCAGTCTTTCAAAGGATCGTTTATAATGGTGTTAAATACTCTGCGTGGATATCGTACGGTGAAGATGGAATTGACTGTAAAGCACAGGAGGCTTATAATACAGCATTTAGAAATAAAAATGAGATGAATGTTGCCTCTTCTGGATAGACAAAACTGTCTTTTCTTTTAAAAAAGAAAAAAAATAGAAAACTGCTAACTTGGGAAAGAAAGAGTAGGAGAAACCACAGTGGGTAGCTGCTCAGCTGTTCTCTAGGGGACTCAGTGTGTCTTCCTGCTTGAGAACTTTCCTTACTCTCAGCCTCTGCAGTCACCGGATCAACACCAATCATTTTCCGTTTCTGTGTCCACCTGCGTGCTTATGCCCTCTTGTGCTCCACTGTTGAGGGGAGTCCTAATTTTTTAACTTAAAAAAATAACTCCAGTTTATATGAAAGATTATGTGGCTTAGAGAGGATGGGAAGTAACTTCAGGGAGGATCAGTGTATAACATACTGGCCAGATTAAAAGCCAGGAAGATGAAGTGGGCTGTTCAGTAATGTGGTGAGTAATATCCTTTGTCTTTGTCTTGGCCTTTGAAATTGACAAGGAGCTTAGAGTGGAAGGAGGCATGTGGATAGGCTCTTTGTGCGAGTTACGTACCTGCGCCTAGCGTGAGGTGTGCCCTAGGAGATGGCACAGACGTGAGCCTACATAGAGGGATTGAGTGCTGCCCAGTGACAAAATTATTATCAACAGCATTGATAGTGATGATCAGCAGTATCAAAGGGTAATCATAGCGTGAAGTGGGTGGTCATGGTGTTCGTAGGTAATGTTTGGGTCGTAGCCTGGCCTTTCAAGGGTGGGGGTTGGTTGAGGGAGAGTTATCTCTTCAGGGGTTTTAAAATATAGATTGTAGAAAGTAATTTATTCCTCTAGTTAAACAGAGGCGTTGGTTGAGAATTAGCAGAGTTGTGCACAAATAGAATGAAGCCTGAATGGTCACCTCTCCTGTCCCTTCCTCCTCCACATCACCTTTCTCAAACCGGTCGTGTGTTTTTAATGTTCTCCTGATGCCGGATGGACGTGCTAGCCACGTGGGAGTATGTCTTCCAGCATTCCTTCCTCCTCCTCTCCCTCTCTCCCCGTCTCCCCGCCTCTCCTATTCTAGATTTTCCTGAACGTGTTTATCCCTTCTTCTTTGTACAGTTGGCAGTTTTTCAGAGCACTTGGATCAGATAAATGGACGGAGCGAGTGTGTGGACAGTACAGATAATTCCTCAAAGCCATCCAGTGACCCCGCCTCTCACATGGCTCGACAGCGATTAGAAAGCACAGAAAAAAAGAAACTCTCGGGGAAAGTCACAAAGTCCCTCTCTGCCAGTGCTCTGTCCCTCGTGATCCCAGGAGGTAGAGAGACACCTGCTCGCATGAAATTGTGTGATTTGTGCATGTGCCCCCACATGGAATGCTGGTTGAGATGCAAGATCGCTTGCGGCAGTGACGGGGGCAGCCCGGCACGGCGCTCGCGGGCGGCCCGTTTCATTTCGCCGTCTGCATCAGGAGATGGGAGAGGCTTCCCATCTTATTTCTTTCATTTTTTTCCTTTTCTTTTCTCCCTCCAAGTTAAATGATAAATTTCCCTCCCGTGAATAGTTTGTCTTCTCTAGACTATGTATTATTTATACACTTTACAGAGCTGTTTACAGCATTTGTGTTGGGAAACTAAGTATAGTTTTCCTCATCTAATTAATGAGGAAACAGGCACAGAGAATGTAAGCTTTTCATTGCTGGAGTTGCAGCGTCACAGCATTGAAATGATAAGTTTTCCCAACCCTGTCAGTTGAGCTATGCTTCCTCCTACTGGTAGTCAAATCATTTTGTGTCCTTTTTTGGAAAACTGGACTTAATTATGGTTTTGTTGAATTGCAGTATTTCCCCACAACCTGGCTTTGCCTCTACTGATCACTAAGTCTGTAGAAATTCCATGGCAGAGACAAAATATATACCCCTGATGGCTGTGATATCACTTCAATGACAGCAAGAGAGTGGAAATGGGACGTGAACTATATTGCAGATGGCTTGTATTTGGAAGAATACAGACCATGTATAAAAGGGATTGTTTACATTTGTAAAATTTCATATTTGTGCAGAAATTTGATATAAACAAATGCTCACTTGGGAGTAGCGCTCACTCTAGCAGATGCAGTTTCTGGGAGATGTCCCACTTAGTACCATAGGACAAACACCTATCTCTCTAGTCTGAGTGACTCTTCGTAACCCAGAAATAGCGGTTCCGGCGCAGCTGCACAATAGGGAAGGTAAGTTTGGTGTGGTCTAGTGTACTTTCGAACACTGGTGTGAAAGCCCATACTTTGGTAAAATAGGGAAATTATTCGATTTGGGAAGATAAAGGAGACCATCACAAGGTAAAAAATTAGGAGCTTGGCTTTTCAGCTTTTGGGGCCGATGTGTGTCTACTCTGTCCTCTTCCCACCTGCATGTTTTTTTGTGTGTTTTTTTTTTGTTTTTTGTTTTTGAGACAGAGTCTCGCTCTGTTGCCCGGGCTAGAGTGAGTGCCGTGGCGTCAGCCTAGCTCACAGGAACCTCAAACTCCTGGGCTCAAGCGATCCTCCTGCCTCAGCCTCCCGAGTAGCTGGGACTACAGGCATGCGCCACCATGCCCGGCTAATTTTTTCTATATATTTTAGTTGTCCGATTAATTTCTTTCTATTTTTAGTAGAGACGGGGTCTCGCTCTTGCTCAGGCTGATCTCGAACTCCTGAGCTCAAACGATCCGCCCGCCTCGGCCTCCCAGAGAGCTAGGATTACAAGTGCGAGCCACCGCGCCCGGCCCCACCTGCATGTTTTGAAGTTCCCTGACCACCATGTGCATCTCTTCACCTGGCCCTTGATTAGACAGAAGGGAGCCAGCAAAAGAGAACCAAGGTGCCTCTGTGAGGGCACAGAGTGAAGGACATGGAGAGCGAGTGGCACATTTGGCTTTGCTCTTCTTGGGACAAACATAACGATGGGAAGAGTGGGTAGTATGGGTGCTTTCAGCTCACTGGGACCACAGTGGAACTCGCCACACCCTTGTAGCCTTCAGTAGCACCGGGCACTTTGTAGCCCGCCTCCAACTAAGCTCACATTTAAACGTCAACATCTTTTATAGATTATTCTGCCTTGTCTCAAAAACACACATACACATATGTGCACATGCAGACAATCTCACATCGCCACTTAACACCTATTTAGATCCACATAGATGGAACAGTGCTATGAACAATAAATTAAAAGTGTATTTGTGTTTTAGTTCATTTCTGTTGCTATAACAAAATACCTTAGATTGGGTACTATGTAAACAACAGAATTTATCATTCATAGTTCCGGAGGTGGGAAGTGCAAGATCAAGGTGCCAGCTGATTTGGCGTCTGGTGAGGGCTCATTCCTCAGAGATGGTACCTTCCATGTGTCCTCCCATGGCAGAAGGGGCAAACAAGCTCCCTTAGGCCTCTTTTATAAGGGCGCTAATCCCATTCATGAGGGAATAGAACCTCATGACCTAATCACCTCCCGAAGGCCCCACCTCTTAACATCGTCGCTTTGAGGTTTCAACATATGAATTTGGGGGGAACACAAGCAGTCAGACCACAGCAGTTTGCTTATAAAACAGAGAAAACAGAGTAGAATTGGTATTTTGGGATATGAATTGAATTTCTCCTAACATTTCTCTATCTCACCAACATTATCCTCTTAGAAACCTTATCAGAATTATAGATAATATATGAAGAGGATCAGTTGTAACCGTACTAATGAGTTATTCTTTTATAGAGAAGTCACCATTTCCGTGTCTTCTTGATTAAAATTCTTTAATCAGTACTGGTTCAATAGCATGGTAGAAAGCAGCTAGTAAATTAATAAATTGCTTTCCCGGGCACGTGTGTTGAACAGGACCACGTTAAAGTTGCTTAGTGCAGGATTTGGAGTCCCAGTGTCTCTTACTGTAGTACATAAAGTCTTCTGTGCGTGAGGACGTACTTGAAATACATGCATCTACGATTTATTTCTTTAGTTAAAATAAGTAAAAATATCACAGCCAGAAAGTTGCTAATCGGTGTCTTTTAATTAGTGTAGAAAATTAAATTATAACTTTAGGGTATTAACTGAAAAATTCATTAAAATAGGAACACTTTTGAAGTTTCCCTGACAGGCTTCTGTTTTGAAATCCATGCTTATCTCTTCTTTATTTTGCCATTGGAAATGAATGGGTTTGTTTTGTGGCCGTGCTCCCAGTCCTGGCAGGGCCCACGTGGCGAGGACTGTCTGCATGGATGTGTGTAGCCAGGGCCAGCTTTGGTGAGCGGCTTCTTTGTTGCAGATATGTTTGCTGTCTCCCCACTGGGAAGTCCAATGTCTCCCCATTCCCTGTCCTCGGACCCTTCTTCTTCGCGGGATTCCTCTCCCAGCCGAGACTCTTCCGCAGCTTCTGCCAGTCCTCATCAGCCCATCGTGATCCACAGTTCAGGGAAGAACTATGGCTTCACCATCAGAGCCATCCGGGTATACGTGGGAGACAGTGACATCTATACAGTGCACCATATCGTTTGGGTGAGATCAACAGTCTACTTGCTATTAGTTTTCATTTTCAGCCAAGCTGGAGACTGGATAAGTTGACCGAGGCATAGTTAATAGCGAATGTATTTTCTTTTGAGATGGCTGTTTGGATGGGTTTCATTTTCCGTTTAGAGCTCTTTCCCTCTGCCTGTGTGGTAGAATTGAATTTAGCAAAAACTAATCATTTCTCATAATTCTGTCCAGTTTTCATATTTGATTGTCCACTCTTATTAATACATACCAAGCTGACAGATGTAGTCAAAGGCAGTCCTGTATCCATCCTTCTTTCATTCTCTCTCTCTCTCTTTTTTTTTTCTGGTCTTTTTAAAAATTACCGTCTCAGTTCGCTTCAAAATTTTTAAGGAACCGTAGGAATTATCCTATTTTGGAACAATGACAGAATAGGAATAGTAACCATGCCTTTTTGGTTTTCTATTAGGAGCTTAGAGCCATTTGCTAATTGACTCAGAATATTCTGCCAGAGAAACAGTAGGTGTTAGGGTTGTCATTTGTTTGCTTACAAATATATTCTCTCCACTTGGACGTAGAATGTAGAAGAAGGAAGTCCAGCGTGCCAGGCAGGACTGAAGGCTGGGGATCTGATCACGCACATCAATGGAGAACCGGTGCACGGACTCGTCCACACAGAAGTTATAGAGCTCCTGCTAAAGGTATTGCCGTTTGCGTGTCAGGGCCGTGCAGACGAGGCAGGTAGCCCAAAGGAACTAGTAGCAAGAGGCTGACTGCTCTGCGGCACACCCATGTCATCAGTCTCATTACTGAGAAAGTATTCAGTAGTCTGAGGTTTAATATGAAGACAAAGATATATGAATTCTCTGGTTCTGTATTCTGAAATAATATCCTTATATCTGCATGCTCATTCCCTAACTTAATTTTGCTTCTCATTCTCCGTTGTAAACAGTAAGAATTTTCTTTGTTTGTATGCCTCACATAGTGACATCTATTTGGGAATCACCTTGTCCTAAAGGGGAATTTCTTCAGGAACTTTCAGTAGGAACTTTCTAGTATAGTAGAAGGCAAAATAGTATTAAACTGTGCGGTTAGATCTGAATGTTTAGTCTGAGAGTCGGAGTTCCTTCGAAGGACAGAATTGCGAATATATATATATACGTGTACTATAAATTATAAAAATAAGTGATAGTGGAAGGAGGGGTTCTAGCTATTATTAGGCTTCCCTCCTCCTTTTCAAATTAACTTAAATGAGGATCAATTTAAAATTTATTTAAAATCTAAGCTCCATAGAGCCTGTGGTGTAAGGAGCTCACGTGAATACAAACGGAGAGAGAGCGTATACACCGATCCTCTCAGACAGTTCTGTTGAGTTATTCACTTTGCCACCTGCTGACTCTAGAATATAAAGTTACAGCTCCAAATATGAATCTGGTTAAAACAAATAAAGATGAATTTATATATTTGATTTAAAATTTCTCAGAAAAAGACGGCTACGTTATGTGTGATGAGAAGTACAGTTCCTACTTGTGGGATTATTTTACAACCAACAGACTTAGGGACGACCTTTTGCTTCTTGGGCACCGTCCTTTAGTCTCTGGAAGGGGCTACCAGCCAGGAGAGGTGAGCTGCAAAGGACCTACGGTCTAGTTAGGGAGGCAAAGCATAAATACAGAAAAGCATAAACACCTACACATCACTTATGTAATGTTCATTCAGATTGTTTCTGTAGTACTCGTTCTGAGGCAGGTAGATGTTGGTAACGTGGGAATTAAGGTATGGTCTCTGCCCTCAAGGTATGGGATGTGTACGTAGCAAAAACAACACAGCTTAGTTATTCGGGCTGTAGCAGAGGGAGGAATGTCACATTTCTGGAGAGAACATTCTATGAGTGGGGAGAGGCATCACAGGCAAGTGATATGAAGCTGGAACTTGAAAGAAAATGAGGAATTTGGAAGAGACTACAGGGAAGTGGGTGTGCATATCTTTCAGAAGCACGTGCAATTAAATGACTTTTCTCCTGCCTTCTCTGCTGTTCCTCCAACCCACATAAGTATATTCTCTAAAAGATTCGGGGTCTGACTTAGGTTCCAGGAGTAGTAAAGAGCATGTATACCCAAAGGTCCAGTGTGAAGTAGTAGAGTTGTTGCTGTTGATTAATTCATGGCATTAATGGGATTTTGGTCTTGGGCTCAGGCCCCATGGGGGCTGGGGGCTCAATAAGTTTGGTGAACCGTGGGGTCCTCCTTTTGCAGTCCAGAAGTTAGCATGGGAGGAGCCAGGTACCACATGGCTGTTTTGTTGTGTTCTGATTTCACGTCTGCTGTTGGTGCTCCTCGGTTTGGTAGCAAAAGCCTTAAGAGGACTGGGTCAGCCTACACGTTTGCTGTACAGCTGCTGAGTAGAAGCAAATGCCACTTCTGGCACCTCAGTGCCTAAGATCTGAGGTTTTTAATTCCATTCAGCATCTGTCTCTGACAGTATGTTTTGTCCAGCTGAGGTGGAACAGCTCTCTCAGAGAAAATGCCCAAGAAATGGGAGGCAGAGCAGGATTGCTGACTGTGAGATCCCTGGGCTGTGAAAGTCACCTGAAATGACCTTAGATTCGCAGAGACAAATGTCAGGGAGAGACACAAAGATTCGTGAGTATGACCAGCTGCTTCTCTGACTACACTGAATCCTGTGGTCTGTGGTGCCCCGTCTCAGGGTCAAAGCCACCCTTGTGGAGAAAGGCCCAGGGAAGTTGCCTTTTCCCTTTGTCTCCTATGTCCAAGATAAGCCTTTCCCGTTCACAGGGCCTGCAGAGGTATGCAGACAGAGGTGCTTGCTGCCTCCAAAGCGCTCCTTGAGCTTTTCTAGGTGCCCACCTTGACCTTTTGTGTTGGTGAAGTCTGTGTTCTGTAGGTATGCGTGCTTCTCCTAGTTATCATCCTTTCTGCTAGAGCTTTTGCAGACCTTGGCATCTATGACTTAAAAAAGGTTAAAGGGATTTCAAGTGGTGATATACGTTTTGTCCTTTGTATTCTTTGTAACGATGTTGTGTTACATGCAGAATAGCTCCTGCCGTGGCGTAGCTCTAGGTCATGTCATATATCTCTCTCCACAACATCAGAATAAGAAATAATAGACTGAAATATAGATACTGAGAAATATGCATTTGTTTATTTTGCCAAGACACAATTGATCACTTTCGTGATTTATTTTGTAACGTATTTTAATATGATTCTGGGTTTTAAAACTTTTCTTCCTGCTTCCATAAAATTTGAATTTGTATTTCCCCTGAAGGTGTCAGAACAGACTCAGATGATCCAATTCATAACGTTTTGTCCTCATCGGTTACAGAGCCCCTTCCACAGCCTAAAGCCTGGGTACAGCCCATGTGTGTCACTGCATGCAGCGGAGCAGAGCCGGCACCCCCTGAAGCCGTGGGGTGCTCTGTCACAAACCCAGACAGCGGATTCTGCCTACCGTTCATAAAAGAAGCATTCGAGAGGAGTAACCAGAGTGTAATGAAACAAAGAGGATACAGGGGATTTAATTATCTTCCCAGCGAACTGTGTAATCATGCAGCTTTCCTCCAAATTTAACCAACGATTATCGAACGAAGAGGGCAAAGCGACTGGTGTCAACGCTGGGTGCTGGGCGCCGTCGCTGGTTTAACATTGGCGTGGTCGCTGCATTCCGGTATTGCTGGATGCTGTTTACACAGTGTTTTAGACTTGCCAAGTATTTCACAAAATCTCAAGATTTTGTAAAATCAGAGAAAGGTGGAGAGGTTATGACAGAGGGTTGTGTGTATGTGTTTAGTAGAACTACATGAGTCCGTGTATAATGTTTATCTTTGGGATTATGGACATGGTAAGCGTTTTTCATGTCTCACGTTTGGTCTCATTTACCTTCACAAATTCAAAGTGAACCCCCGCTAAGGAAGCGCTAACTTCGACGCACAGGGAAACTTGCCCATGGTCACTTGGCATCCTGGACCCATTGGAATAGAGAATGTCATGGTTGTCCAGCTCCACACCCCCCAGGCTGTGTGAATCCCTCACAGTGTACTTCGTCAGCTTCACCTCACACCTTTCCTGCCCTGCCGCAAGGCACCTCCATTGGACAATCTGTCTAGCAGAACTTCATCAACAGTCATTCTTCACCCACTAGAGTTATGAGTGGAGACCATACTGATCCAGCGCTATTCCCTGCTCCCATGATAACTTGCCAGGCTGAACTTCTGTGATCCAAGAACTTTCCACTCAGCCAGGTTGCTGTTTTAATACAGCATTAGTTTAAATCCCCAAAGCATAAGAGAAGCCCTAAAACTTCACCAGCCCCTGCTTCAGAAAAGTCTTTTCCATCAACTCTGGGAGCCTCCAGATGCTAAAATGGGGACCATCAAATAGCGTCATCACCATTTTCACGTATTTACTGAGCCCCTGCTATGTGCAGAGCCTTGTGCGGAGTACTGCAAAGGTGACACAGAAATGACATTTATGAATAGCTAATGGAGAGAGAATCCCTGGTACCTGTCAGGCACATTATAAGTTCTTGACAGGAATAAACTCAGTAACTCTCATAGTTACACTCTGAGGTAGGTGCGATAAATACAGATGTTCCATCTCACAGATGGAAAAACCCAAGCGTGTCTGCTAGGAAGGGGCAGAAGATGATTTGTGCCCAATCAGTGCAGCTCTGGAGCCTGTGCTTTCAACTGCCACGGTGCACATGCTGTACTGCACGTGAAGTCTCTGGTTGCCAATAACTTAGAGTCTCATGTCCACAGGGGGAAACGGTGGCAATGCCAGGCTGCAATCAAAGTGTTAAACATAGGAACAGACTGTAAACATGCGAGAAGTTCTGAGAAAGAGAGATGGCTTTTCTCCAGAGTGGCCAGGAATGGTGTCAAAGAATCGAGGGTTGTCAGTGCAGGGCTTTGAGATGGGTGGAGATTCAGTGCATGGAAAGGGAGTGCAGGATAGTCTAGGCAGAATGAAGAGGTGTGTAAATGCAAGGGCAGGAGAACTCAAGGTATATGAGGTACACAGGTGAACCAGTGGGCTGGAGCCTCGGTTAATGTAAGGATAAAGTGTGCGCGGTGGTGGGGGCTGGGTAGTGAAGGGGTGAGTCAGGGTGAGGACACAGGGATGCAGGGAGAACCCACCCCCCATCTGTGGTTTGCAGAGAAAGAAATGTAAAAGCAGTCAAGGGTGGGGTTATTCAAGACCCACTGATGGCCAAGACAGAGCCACACTGAGAGAAGCAGTTGGACCACTTGACTTCTGCTATTGCATTCAAGTCAGCCAGTTTAAAAGAATTTTCCTCCAGCTGTGCGCTAATCATGAAAATAATTTAAAGTAAAAGTGAACTAATTGAACATTTAACAGTCTACTAACTGCATTTTGGTGGTTGTTATTTTTTAAACAAGTGCCACGGAATTTCTCTGATAAGAAAGAGGTTGCTCATTAATCAAGAGAAGATAATTTTGGATAAAGCAGCCGGGTAAGCCCGTTTGAGTAGTTCCCGTAGCGCTCGCTGTAGCGGAATGGATCCACCAGGTGGCAGCCTTCACAAATCTCGCCTCTCCTTATTTTCCCAGTCCTTTACCATTTTTGTAACCATTGATGTTTCCAACCTAATATTTGCACTCTGCATCCTTTGTGCTTATATTTCCCCTTGGAAAAATTTTCTTTGGTGTTTGTCCATAAGTCTAGTGAATTGTCCTCTGGAGCAGCTGTATGTAAAAACAAGAAAGAGCAAACTGAGTTTGGTTTTTGTAGGGGAAGGAACATTTATTTGTGCAGAGCCTAGTGATGTACTGTCACTTAGCGAGTCCTGGTCTTCACTATTTTCTGATGATAAATATCCAGGATTTACATTTGCCTTACACAATTTTATGATATGTTTATATCTCCTTCACTTCTTTTTGACAGTCTGATACCTTGACTGTGCCTCTTGTCAGTGAAGTGCCAGGTTCTTCCACTGCTCACTGAGCACCATCCCGGCACTGTGCCAGGCACAGAAGCAGCAGAGGGGACCAGAGCATGCCCTGCCCGTAGGGACCAGGGTTTGGTAGGAGGGAATTGGGGGTGAGGGGCAGGAGAGCCAGGCTTGGGCTCTTCCTTTGTAGCCTTGGGATAGAAGAATATCAGGGTCTCTCGAATGTTTATGGCAGCCCAATTCACTATTGCAAGGATGTGGAAACAACCCAAGTGCCCGTCAATCCATGCGTGGATTATTAAAATTTGGTATATGTTTACAATGGAATATTACTCAATCATGAGAAACGACAATGATCTAGAACCTCTTATACTTTCCTGGATTAAACTTAAGCCTATTATCCAAAGTGAGGCACCACAAGATCGGAAGAATGGGCTCCACTTGTACTCGCCATCAAATTGGTAATAACTGATGAACACTAGGGTGCTCACATGGCAGGTGGGGGAGTAAATCCACAACTAAAGGACACGGGGAGCATTGTAGCGGGGAAGGGCATGCCTCTAACCCTCACTTGGGTGAGGCAAAGACAAAGTGTAACCATAATGTTTTTTTTTTTTTTTTGAGACAGAGTCTGACTCTGTTGCCCTGGCTAGAGTGCCGTGGTGTCAGCTTAGCCCACAGCAACCTCAAACTCCTGGGCTCAAGTGATCCTCCTGCCTCAGCCTCCCAAGCAGCTGGGACTACAGGCATGCGCCACCATGCCCAGCTAATTTTTTCTATATATATGCATTTTTTAGTTGTCCAGATAATTTCTTTCTATTTTTAGTAGAGACAGAGTCTCGCTCTTGCTCAGGCTGGTCTCAAACTCCTGACCTTGAGCAATCCACCCACCTCAGCCTCCCAGAGTGCTAGGATTACAGGTGTGAGCCACCACACTTGGCCCCATAATGTTCGTACCCTCATAATACCCTGAAATAAAAAAAAAAAAGAACAGGAAAAAAAAAAAGAATATCAGGGTCTCTGAATCTATTTTCCTTATCTGTAAAGCAAGGATAATAACCTCTTCCAAATCTTCAGGATGAAACAAACAACCCTCATGCCTTAGTTATGAAAATAAATTGAGAGACTATATACGAAAAATGGTTTAAAGATCAAAACGTGGTTTTAAAATGCCAGGTGGCATTGTTAATCTCTTATGGGTAACGATATAAAAGTTATGCTGAATTGTATTAGGAAAGAGTAGGGTGGGACTGAGTCCCTGAGATGGGGCAGCTCTGTGTCCACTCTGCCACTGTGGGGAAGGCGGAGAGAACTTCAGGAAAGATGAATTCTAACCACGTGCATGGCCTCTTTCCTTCACCATAGGAAAAACTAAAATTTCGTCATGGCCTTAATTTGTGAAAAGAAGACTTCATTCCAGAAAAACTTCACTAGACCTTACATATAAGCTGAATTTTTCGTTTGAAGAATAAATAGGATACTGAAAGATAAAGATTTATTTTTAAAGTTTTGGCATTTGCATATAGAATACCTAATATATTCTTTTTGGTCTTTTGAAGTTAAAACCCCATTTCCCTAAAATATTTTCTACAAATATGACTTTAGGTATGGAATTACATGGTCTTAAATGTATAAAGAACTCTAAAACCAATGATAAGATAGGAAGACTTTCCAGTATTAAACTGGATGTAAGACATGAACAAATCATTCCCTAAAGAAATACAGATAACCAAAACACATGAGAGGCAGCATCAACACTTACAAAAATGGAAAATAGAAAACAAGAGCAGTAGGGACACAGTTAAGTAAATTTTGATTCACCCATCTGATGGAATATCTCGTGTAGTCAGTAAAAATCACATTCTTGAAGAATATTTAACGATGAAGGGGAAGTTTATCAAAAATATATAACATGAAATGAAAACAACATAAAACTGTAAATATAGTAAGATTAAAATTGTTTGTTAATGCATGTCTACATAAGTGCATATTTATATATGCTTGAAAAAAGACCAGTAGGAAATACATTGAAATATTATGAGTGGTAGCTGAGTGGTAGGCTTCTCAGTGATTTTTATTTTTTTATTTATACTTTATTATTTTCTTCTTATAATGGTATGGATTACTTTCCAAATCAGAGAGGAAAGTAGATGTTATCATGAAAGCAGTCATTTCCTGTTCTTTCTAGTCACCCGCCCCTACCATACTTAATTCTCCTTCTCTTGGTACCACTCACACCTTGGCTGATAGATGTCTTCTGGGCATGGGCCTTTAAAAAGGCCCTTCTTCCTGTACTACTTGTATTTTCAAGGTAATCAGGGCAATCTCTGACTTTGAAAAGGACATGTTTCTCCCCTGGTTATTATGAAATTCAAGAAGGGATAATTGATGCCGCCTGCCGTGGGCACCCCTCCACCTACCTGCTGACTCTGCACTCAGCTCCGTCCCCAGGGCCTGCCCAGCAAGCCCCTGTCCCAGGATTGAGTGAAAGGACACAGAAACCCACCAGGAATTACCTCACCTTGCATGACCTGGTTAAAGAGAGGTTTCCTACTGGCTGGCACAAACTTTCCAGCTCTGCAAGCTGACAGGTTTTATGGTGATAGAAAAGGAACCTTTAAAAAAAATTAAAAAATAAATGTCTCATTCAGTTTTGCTACTCTATAATTTCTAAGCCAAAGGAAAAACACAAAAAAGAAAAATCAACCAAGAGCAGACAGCCGCTGGGCACATTTATACTTAATACATATGGATGAAGATATCTGTTATTTATAGAGCCTTTTCCATGTGTCACGCTCAGTGCAAAAGGCTTTGCGAACTTTCTCTTATTGAATCCTCAGATGAGCCCTGTGTGATAGGTAGGATGATATTGTTCGCTGGTACAGAAAGTTGGCAGTGGGGAAGGTAAGCAGCTTGCTCAGGTCACAGAGCTCGGATCTGAACTCAGATCTGCAGACTCCAGAGCCCACTCTCTTAAAGAAACTTCCACCCAGTTTGTATTCTGTCAGGACGTCACTGATGGGAGGGTTGTTTAGAGACGGAAGGCCTTTCATATGCATGCTCTTGTCTATTTTTATTTGTCTTTGAAGCTTCTACCTCTCTTCTGATCTTGCTTCATCACAGCATTTCCCTTTAATACCACCTCATTTTTTTTTACAGAGTGGAAATAAGGTGTCAATCACTACTACTCCTTTTGAAAACACGTCAATCAAAACAGGACCAGCCAGGAGAAATAGCTATAAGAGCCGGATGGTGAGGCGGAGCAAGAAATCTAAGAAGAAAGAAAGTCTAGAAAGGTTGGTGAAGCTATTATTTAATAGTATTTGTGAGTTGGGTATATACCCATCTTGAAGAAAAGTTACTCCTTACTTACCTTAAATGCCCACATATGAGAAAGATCTATTTCTTTCTGAAAAATTTCATGTTAAGGTTCACATGTATTATACATTAAAGTTCATAGTCATAATAGCATTAATTTCCATAGTAAAAGGATTTACATATTTACATGGTAGAAGGATTTAGATTGCTTCGTATTGTATGTGAAAGCCAGGAAAAGTCCTTTGCTATTTTTTTAAGCTTCTCCATTTCAGTTGAGTTGGATTTGAGGAACTGGACTTTCAGGCAGTTTTTATAACATTAAATCTACATTTAAAATGTCCTTTACATTATCTAAAAACAGTTGCCATTTTTTTAAAATGCCAGATATTCTGAAATAACTGTATCTTTAAGGTTTCCAAGTAAGCCTAGAAATAAAAGGGCTTTGTTTCATGGACTGGAACTCTAACTAGCTCATACCCGTCTGCAGCCTGGGAAGCAGTGATGAGGATCCTTTTGTGCTCCGTGCAGACACCCGCACGATGCGCGTGTGTGTTCCTGGCAGGGATGTCTCTTGCCAGGCAGCTCCCTGGGTGTGCCTCCTGTGTGGCCACAGCGTTTCTCCTTTGCCCACTCAGACCTCATGAAATATTATCAAATTAAGAGGATTTTTGATGATAGAAGTGTAGAAAAATAAGCAAACAAAAAAGAATGATTTATTAATGCTAGGAACAATAAATAAGCTTACCTAAGAAAGGAAGCAGAATTAGGCTTCTCATGACACAGCTGTGAACAATATTTGTAACATAAAATAAGACACCAGCCATTTTTCTAACTAAAAATTTGGGTTTAGCTGTATTTGGAGGAATAGACAAGGGGAAGTGTGTTTGGTCAGGAGGTAGGAGGGGCTGTATAAGAGCTCAGTCGTCATCTTTCATAGTAGGGAATCAACAGACATTTTCTAAAACTGAAAAACTAAAACACAGGGTAAGCACGTTGTTTAGCAATATGCAGACAAATGGGAGGAGAAATGGGTAAAAGTGTAGCAAGTGGTTTCTCTGGGGAGTGTAGAGAAAGCAGAGTAGAGGAGTTGCTATTTTTCATTATAAGTTTATAGAGCTATATGACTTTTCAACCTGAGTATAATTATCACTCTGATTAAAATTAATCACACATAAGTTCTGGGATCCTTCTTTTCTTTTTTGTGTGCTTTACATTTTAACACATTGATGGCCACACAAAAAAAATCAGAAACTTTTCCTTGGGACCACAGTGTTTTATTATGAAAATAGAGTCAAAACTTTAGTGTAATTTAAAGGTAAACATAAATAGAAAAATGAAATATTCACTTCTATTCAATTAATCCATGTTTTTAGAATTAAATTGACAAGTACTGTTTCCTGTATGCTTCATGTGGCCCCGGGGTCAAAACTAGAGTGAGTTAAATACAACTTTCATGGCAGTTCATGTGTTGTTTGTGCTTTCAGTCATATAGAACAAACTGTTTCGAGGGGTAGCAGTGTGAAAGTTCTGTTTAAGCCCGCCGGGGTGCGTCAGGCTTATATTATGGTAAAAGAACTCCATCATCAGGGCACCCACATGCCCTGACAAGCCATCGTAAGCTGTGATCTCTGGCTCAGGGATGTGCTCGTTGAGCAGTAACTGCACGTTTGCTTCTAATGCTGCACAGTGTCTGCCCTGCTGATATGGTACACTTCAGCTTCACCTTTCTCGATTTTTCTATGTGAATATGCAGCCTCCATTGTTGTCAGGAATATTCAAGAGCCCACAGTGGAATAAGCACAGCAAACAGCCCTTCAACGATAAAGC